TTTATGAACTGTCAGGGTGTCCAAGCAATAGCAATAGCAGTTAGACTTATATACCGCTTCATAGGGCTTTCAGCCCTCTCTAAGCAGTTTACAGAGTCAGACTATTGCCCCCAACAATCCGGGTCCACATTTCACCCACCTCGGAAGGATGGAAGGCTGAGTCAACCTTGAGCCTGTGACATTAGAACTGCTAAAATGCAGATAACAGTCAGCTGAAGTGGTCTGCAGTACTGCACCCTAACCACTGCGCCACCTCGGTTCTTGCAAAGGGTTACCGATCTTTTTTATCAGCTTGGGGAAGACAGAAAGACTCGTTCTTACCAGAGGACAAAATGTGAGGAGGGATTTTCACTTGAGGGCCGAGACCCAAAAAGTTACACCGGTAAGCCTCCTCGTACTGGTCGCTATACGGGATGATTCGGACACAGCCAATCGGAAGCATGGTCTAGCAAAGGAAAGAGAGGCGAGTGAGAATCCAGTTCCCAGCGCAGATTTCGGGCAGACAAAATGGTTTGCAAAGCAGGACAGAGGAAGTTGTTTGAAAGCAGGCAGAAGAGACGGATTTTATTGAAAAGCTGGAGCTGAAGATACAAAGTCCTGAAATGGGTTATTTTCGTTTAATTATTCGTTTATTTTGTATACCACCCTTCTTGCTAAGCGGTGACTCTAGCCAGCTTCCAACCAAGCAAGAACAAGGAAAATATTTTAAAATAATAAAAATTAATATTAAAACAGACTAAAGGTCAAGGCAGCCAGATATACACGGACTGGAGATGCATGCAAGACATCCATGCTATCTTGGAATGATAGTAACAACAACATCGGTTATTATTATGGCTCCTACTTCTATATAAGTCACTCAGTTTCTAGAGGCTTGGAGCGGTTGGTTGCACTGGTTAAAATTAAGACCAAAACCATGAATGCAATTCTAAACCACCTGAGGCACCACCATGCAGGCTGATGGAGATGAGAACTTTGCATGCCCCACCCCCTATTATGACATCAGGGCAGCCCAGCCAATCAGAAGTCCACTGGAGGAGGACGGGGCGGAGAGAGGTGACGTTGCGTTTCGTACCCGCAGGACATCAAAGGCGGAGTGGATGAGGTCTCGATCCAGCGCTTTCCAGATGACCTGGTTGCCCATGAGAACGTGCCAGGCCAGCATGCGGAATGCTGACGATCCCAAGACCTGGGAAAGACAAGCAATAGTTTTTAAAAGCTTATTTTTTTTTTGCCTTTAATTTTTACTTCAGACCGCTGTTTCTCAAGCTTTAGCAACTTTAAGAGAAGCTGGGCTTCTCCCAGAATTCCCCAGCCAGTTATGCTTGAGTAACACTGCTTTGCCTTATGCTTCCCTAGTTTCATTTCATTTACTGAATTTCTAGGCCAATCCCGAAGGACTCCGGGTGGCTTACAGAAATGAAAAATATTAAAAAAAGAATTAAAACAATAAGACACAACAAAATTAAGAAGCACAGGATGCACCCAATCAAAGGGGGGCTGGACTTCAATCAAGAGGTCAACAGTCCCAGGCCTGCCGGAAAAGCCAAGTTCTAGAAGTATCTGCTTTATTGCTTATTTATGTTTGTTTATGCATCTTATTTTTTCTGTGTTGCTGTATATTTCAGCAGCCTCCTAAAACGGTCAGGATGGGCAAAGGCCCATCTCTTCTTCCCGTGATCCAACTGCCATTCCTTGCCTGTCTCAAATGCCGGAGGGAACGGAAGACAGATTGACTCCCACTCGTTCCATTCCAACTGCTGCAATCTGCCAGAAGACCGAAATCGGCCTGGTTCTTCATTTGCCCAGAACCTTCTCGGACATCCTTCTGGCTGGTCGGTTTTCCATCTTCTTCCTCTGAGTTGTCCCAGGCTTCTGACTCTTCCTCCAAATCTCGAGAGAGAAAAAGAGTTTGAATGAAGGTTTGCTCACGTTTCTTCCTGCAACAAGGCAGGAAGGTGTGGCTTTTTACATGCGAGAACGTCCATTAAAAAAAAAAAAAAACCAGCTTCTGACTTTACCAGCAAGTTTTTCCATCTGTACCAAGGTGTCCTCTGTTGGGGCCCCTTCCAGAAGCTTCTCCGTGAGTCTACTGCCACAGGCCTTCAGCAGCCTAAGGATATTGGAATGGGTTTCAGCCCACTTGATACAGAGCAGAGTCCGGTCCCTACGCCCGGATTTCCAAGTTGGTGGTCTACCAAATATATTCACCAAGCAAAGGAAGTGTGAAGGCAAGCCCACAGGTTCTCGTCGTTGGTGAGCGAAGTCAGCGAGCGAGCAGCGTTCCCATTCCGCTGATGCAGAAATGGGGTGAAGGCCGTATTCATGCGTTGGGCTCGCTGCGGACATCCGTACTGCTCAGCTTCAAAGACCTGAGTAACCAAGAACCACACACACACACACACACAAAATAAGTTGAAAAGACAAAGGTTTAAAAAAACCCAGCTTTGCCAAAATTTATCATTAGCCAAGAAAGCAGCAAGACCTTAAAAAGAAGTCTTGAAAACTCCAGAAAAAGAGTGCGGAGAAGAACAACAAAGATGATTAGAGGTCTAGGGGCTAAATTGTCTGATGAATGGTTGCGGGAACTAGGAATGTCTCATCTAACAAAGAGAAGGTATAGAGTGGTGGTGGTGGTGGGGGGGGGGACATGATAGCAGTCTTCCAACATTTGAGAGGCTGCCCCAAAGAAGAGAGGGTCAACCTATTCTCCAAAGTCCCTGAACGCAGGACCAGAAGCAATGGATGGAAACTAAGCAAGGAGAAAAGCATCCTGGAACTAAGAAGCAATTTCCTGATAGAACAATTAATCTGTAGAATGACTTCCCTCCAGAAGTTGTAGGTGTTCCATCACTGGAGGCTTTCAAGAAGAGATTGGACAGTCATTTGCCCAGAATGGTACATGGATTCCTGCCTTGGACTGGGGTTGGACTAGAGGACCTCTAAGGTCCCTTCCTGCCCTATGATTCTCAAATATCTAATTTCCCTCCCAACCTGCTGGCTCAGACCTTCAAAGCTTTGCCCTGCAGCTCGTCCACGATGCCCCGGATCTTCCCCAGGAGGAAAGGCCACGAGTTGATGAGGTAGATACGGTCCATCATGATGGTGATGATGCTGTACCAGCGCTGGAAGCCCCGAGCCAGGCTGTCCTTGATGAAGAAGGTGTGGCTGAAGACAAAACCGTGTTGCTCATCGCCGAAAAAGATGGGACCCTCCCGTCCGGGACAGACCTTTGCGGAGAAAAAGAGCCAGACCTCCTCAAAACCATTGGGGGGGGGGGTACCAGAAATTATTACGCACAACCTGTCTATGACACACACACACCCCTCCTTCCCAAAACTGTCCAGATAAAAGGCAAAAATAAAAGCACCCATTGTGGCATTTCTTCTAGAAACCAAAGGAGCCTTAGCTAAGGAAGTTTCTTCTGACATTCATTTATTTATTCAGTTTCTAGAGTTGCCCATCTCAGTCCAGGACTGTGGGCGGCTTACAATTCCAAAACTATAAAAACAAAGTGACGTTTTAAAAACAATTTTAAAAAGTTCCAAACTAGCCAACCAGCGAACAGGAAATCCAAGAATCGGGGATAATTCCTGGCCTCTTGGCTTTCTCCGGCCAATCAGGGCCTTTATCAAATAGAAAAACCTCGCCACTCTATCAATTCTCCGCAAAAAGGAAGGCAGGGGCTAGAAGTAGGGAATTTTCCCGCAAGGTTTGGCAAGAAGCCAGATCCCTTTTGAGCTGGCGAAGAGGTTCAGTTTGATCCAGTGGTTGAGACACCTGGCTAGAAAGTGGGAGACGGTGAGTTCCAGTCCTGCTTTAGACATGAAAGCTGGCTGGGTGACTTTGGGCCAGTCGTTCTCAGCCTCACCCACCTTACAGAATTATTGTTTGGGGGAAAAGAGGAGGAGGAAGGAGCATCAGATTTAGAGAGAGCCGAGGTGGCGCAGTGGTTAGAGTGCAGCACTGCAGGCTACTTCAGCTGACTGCAGTTCTGCAGTTCGGCTGTTCAAATCTCACTGGCTCAAGGTTGACTCAGCCTTCCATCCTTCCGAGGTGGGTAAAATGAGGACCCGGATTGTTGTTGGGGGCANTTCAAGTTGCCAAGGTTGAGAAACACTGTCCTAACCACTGCTGGGGAATTCTGGGAGTTGAGGTCCAGACATCTTCAAGTTGCCATGGTTGAGAAACACTGTATTAAACTGCCCAACTCCAGACCATCTTAGAGGTAGGGGGTAACCGTTTCATAACACAAGTGTTAAAAGAGTCCCATAATATTACAATAATTCCATTCACACTTGCTCTCCAGAACCACAGCTTTAATCATTGAAAAAAACTAAACAAACAAGACCTCACAACGTATTCAAGGTGTTCATGCATTAATAGTTACTTCCAGGACTTCTCTTGCAATCTTTCTCATCAGTAGTACAGTTTTTAAGTAACAGCAAGAGTTAAATCCTCCAGTCCTAATGACCTTTGACATAGAGAAATATTTAAACTGAAATATTTAAAACTGGGATCGTACTTATGGCTGGATGTTGCCTTCCAGTGCAAAACACCCTGCAGGGCGGCGGTTCTGCCTCTCCATTTTCTGCTGCCAAGTTCTTACGTTCCAGGATTCAAATCAAACAAGCAACGCATAATAGAAATTCAGCACTCCCAACTTAACTGGTCTTTTGGAAAATAAAAGCAGATCGTTGTTCTGAGCCTTTTCTCTCTCTCAATTCAGATGCAACATAAAGGCAACAACTTAGAATGTTCACGTCCCATATGCCGGAAATGTGCGCTTACAAAGATCAGCATACAATTCCATCTCTGCATTCTGTCCTGCAGCTTTATAGCCCTTCTTAATAAAGCCTATTTCAAGTTCTATTCCTTGGAAAGTAAATTCACTAAACACTTAAAAGAGTACACTGCTTGTGTATTTCCCGACTTGCTGCTTATCTTTTAAGATAATTACGTCGTTCTCAAAATGAGAAATTTTGAACCAAATGCTCCCAAACTTTTTTTTTTCCGCCATGCAGTAGATTTTTGTCCCATAATTAACTTTATCCATTTTCAATCCTGGTTTTCTCATGTTTAGAGAAAAATGTATAATTGGCAGGATTGTAGGTTTCCCAAATCTTTTCAAATTCCTCTTGAAAGATGTTCACCAAAGCCTGGTCTTCCAACACCAGCACGTTCTCTCTGTTGGTCTGGATGGCTTGGGTGGTCCAGTTCAAAGAGCCCGTGATCAGCACCTTCTGGTCCACGATGGCAAACTTATGGTGCATGTAGCCCAGGTCCTGATCGTGGCGTACCTGAATCCCTTGCAAAGGAGAGAAAACCCCACTCAACATCAAGGATTGTCACTCAACTGTGTTTGGGAGAGCTGCCTGACGAGGAGAGACAAATAAATTTAACAATGGGTGTCTTTATGACCAAACCACCTCATCTTTCAGTCTTTATCGCTAGCTTTTGTCCTCAATCCACTTGCCTTAGCCCAAATCTCTCCCTTTTCTTCTTCCACCATGTATCCTGTAAGCCAGTTTTGTCCAAACTTGGGAACTTTTAAGACTTGTGGACTTCAACTCCCAGAAGTCCCCAGCCAGCATCGGAGTTCTGGGAGTTGAAGTCCACAAGTCTTAAAATTCCCAAGTTTGGACACCCCTGCTGTAAGCCCTTTCCACCTCATTGCTTATTGCAATGCTCATTGCTGACTCTGTAAAGGGCTGAAAGCCCTATGAAGCGGTATATAAGTCTAACTGCTATTGCTATATTGCTACTTCACGCTTTCTCTTCAGCCCCAGGCAAGCGTGACCAAAGCAAGGTCATCGGAATGCAAAGGGCTGGGGTGGCCTTGCACTTACATCCAGAAGGGCACAGTTTCCCCAGAAGGGCTCAAAGGCAGCCTGATGCTCTTGACCCCCTCCTGGTTTCCCTCTCCCCAAGGGGACAAAATAACCCTTTTCACCACATTCTCATTTAGTTACCACCCCCTCAAGAATGCTCCTCATGGCTATTATGGCATTTGCTGTTGCTTCAGCTGCCATGAAACGGGGAGGGAGGGCACAGTATTTTGGGTGGGGTTACTCATTGTGCTGG